TGTATCTGAAAATCTCCAACATCTCTGAGTGCAAGGGATTGAGAAGTTGCTAGGGATAAATGGTGATGAAAATAATTATCCCTTCTTCTATGCCAGTTACTATTTAAACACTCTACCTCTGTTACTCATTTAATTCTCAATAACTCTCTGAAGTAGGTTCCATCATTTCCCCTGTTTTACAGATGAGAAAATTGAGGCAAAATAATTTGTCGAAAGCTATACACTTAACTAAACAGAAAAGCTAGAATTATGATGAAAGCCACGTGATGGTCCTGGGAGGTACTGTTATTCCCACATTTTAATGAGACCACTGAGGTTCAGGGAATTGCAGAAATTTACTCAGACTTGTCTATCTCTAATCCAAGCTCTAGTCCAGTATACTTGACTGCTGTCTTTATTGTAGAATGTTCCCATTTCTACCTCTGGGAGGTCCTGGATTCTGTTTAGTTGAACAAGTATTTACTGAAAACTCACTGGGTTCTGAGTCTATGCCATGTTCTGGGTATACAGAGATGGTTTTTTGTTATTTTACATCCTTATATAGAAGGGTCAGATCCTGTTGGCTAACTCAGTTTTCCTTTGGGGAAGCCTAGAAATACCTTTGCTATCCAGCACTGTGCTAGTCACATGGAAACTACTCAATATACTGAATATCTATTGGTTGCTAAAATGTGAAAAAAAATCATCGAATAAACAATTTTGTTCCACAAATGTGTGTGTTTGGTTCACTTAATGTTCAATGATAGGCTAATGTCCTCCATTAGTCTGATTGATGAAGCTAAACACAACTTTTAATAGGATGTCACTTTTGGTTTTATGACTGTCAATTTCCTAATTAAAGTAGTAAACTAAAAAGTTCAAAGCTCAAGTGTTGAGTTCCTATTGGGTGGGCTTCTGAAAAACTAACATTATTTTGGGAAAATCATACAACTAGAGGTCAAGACATGCGGACTATAGTTCTAGGTCTCATAACTGTGAGTATTGTCATGTCTCCTGATCTCTCGATTTTTTCATATGCATGATGAGGAAGTTAGACTAAGTGATGGTTAAGGTCACTTGTAAAGTCCTATAATTCATGGAGAAAACTCATACCATAACGAGTCCTTTTGGCCAATGTAGAGTATTAGTTTAGTTTTGACAGTAGATAAATATCTTAATTTTGTTGAGTCTTAGTTTTCTTGCCTTTCCAGTGGGTTGATAGTTTCTGGCATGCCTGTTTATAGGAGTTCTGTGAGGATTCAGTGAGGTATTGGGGATATAAGTGCTTTGAATAGTGTAACACACTGTATGAACACAAGATGATATTATTTCCATTGAAAGTTAACAGAAAGGTGTCTGGTTTCTTGCCACCCCCACCCCCCAAAAAAGAATGGAGTTTGGTCTTGGTTGGGCTGTTTCCTGGAGTTTATGGAACTCCTTGGAACTACAGGGTCAATAGGGGCTTTGTCCTGCCTCAGGTCAGTTTCTCATGGTTGGGGTAAGGCTGCCACACTCTTTCTCCTGACAACACATTATCAAACACACCCGCCACACAAAATGTGGTAATTCGTTAGACACAAGTAAGGTTTTGAGTTACAATAACCTCTGCTTTTTTAAAAGCCTCCTCGGAATCTGAGATCCTCAGATGTGCATGTGTCCCTGGGTTTACAGATGCCTGAAAAACAGCCTGATAAGTCATCCCGAAAATTTGTGTGCCACGTCTAACTCTGTCTCTCAGTGGGGCTATTTTTAACTCCTACTTCTGACTCCTCTCAGCTCCTTTAAGAAAGTGTGATCCGAAAGGGTCAGACATTTGGCATCTACTTAGGGGAAAACTTTGAAAGAATTCCTGAGCCTCCCCCTGGGGTAGGACTGGCTTTCTCCAAAAGAACGGCCCTACAGAGCGTCTTTGCCACATAAGGGCTTGTGCGAGGCCTCAGGCACCAGTTGACACCGTCCCTTCCCCACGACAGATGGTCAAGCCTTCAATTTCAGCAAGCGATCTGCTATCGAGAGGGCGGGCAGGAGATTCTGCCAGCATGCCAAGTGACAGGGCAGCTTAGGGTAACGGGGATCCGGTGTGTGCCCTGCATAGCTTTTGTGCTAACGATGGGCTGCTGACAGGCGCCTCGCTTCTGCTCATCGTTGAGGCAGAAGATCCCCTGCTCCCTTGATTCTGTTTCTCTCTGGCAGAGCTCGCGTCCTGTTTGCCTGTCTTTCAAAGTCCATTTTGGCACCAGATGGACCCCCTCATGGAGGCTAGCAGTTGTCTGAGTTGAAGATGCCAGAGGGTGTGCTGACAGCTCCTTCTAACACAACCTGAATCTGGCTGTCGGGTCTGGGCTCAAATGGCTTAAACACACACAGGCGGCAAATATTATCAACCCTGGGGAACCAGGGAGGGGGGCCCACTGGGAGGAGAATGGCAATGACGTCTCCCTCCGCAGTGTTCCCATGGCCGGTGTGGAAATAATAATACTAACAATTACTCTTACTCATACAATTACTTTTATTAGTACAATTGCCGTTGTGGTTTAATTGCTGTCAATGGTGAAACTAGTATTAACATCAGTACTGCACCACTTCTATTATTACTAAAACTAGTATAGCAGAATGGTTAAGAGCACAGGGTCTCTCTGAGTTTGAGTTCTAAATTCATATGTACTAACCTTTGGGCAAGTGATTTAACTTCTCTGAACCTCAGTTTCCTCATGTCTAAAATGGGATTCATAGCAGAGGTTATTTAGGAGGATTAAATGGGAAAATGTATTTGAAGTTCTTAGCACTGTGTTGAGCCTGAGCCCTCATACATGGAGGCCATGATTATGATTACCGCCACCATCGCCATGCTTACCATGTGCCAGCAGGCACTATGCATTATCACAGCCAATTTCCACGACTGCTTGATACAACAGGGACTGTTATTACACCCAATTTATAGATAAGGACAGTGTGGTGCAGAGCAGTTCAGCTACCTATCCCAAGTCACAAACATACAGTACTTGCCAAAATAAGGATAAGCACCCCATTCTGGGTATTTCTAAAGGCTGTGGCTTTTCTACGAAACTGCACAGACTCTTCATGTCAACATAATGGTAGTCAGCCCTGTTCTGGGGCTTCGGTGGCTTTTAAGGATGCCCTTCCAACTAGCTGTGCTGGAAAGACACAGCCAGTTTTCACATTTCAGGTGTCTTCGGATGTAGGCTTTGTCCCCAGCAAGATGGTAGACTCACTATCCTGAGCTCCCCAACATGAAATAGTTTCTGAAAGCCATGTGTGATCACTGGGGCCACCCAGCACTTGCCCTCAGAGCTCAGCAGAAAGGGACAGTGCAAAGGCACTTAGGATTGTGACCACACCCTCCAACCCTTTTCCTTTCCCCAGTCCACCCTGTTGAAAGGAGACGAGAGTCAGGACCTGCAGACTGCCCTGGGGAATGACAGTGTTGCTCTTTGATGTTCCATGAGTCATTTATCTTGTACGGAAGCTTGATAAACTTTGGCCTCTGTGGAGAGATCCTGGAAGTAGGGATGAATGATTATTCAGAAGCCTGCTTTTATTGATGGGCAGTTGAATGTTGAGTGATGTTGAAAGAGCCATTTCAAGAAGATGTTTACAGTTTAAAATGTTATTTTTTGGTTGACAAAGTCATCGTCTCTCTTCAAATAGTTATTCCCACACTATACTCCCCTCTTGGCAGATTCTAAGAGACCAGGGAGGAGAGACGTTCTTCTGGGACTTCTCTCATTTTAGTATTCAGAAATTGGCTGAACTCGGTCCGTCTTTGTGCTGTGCTCTCATTACAGAGGACCCCCCGTGTTATTTGGTTGATAGACTTTGTGCTCAGAGCTAAATCCAGACGGAGGCACTATGGCATGACAGTTCTTCACAAATTGTGTGTATTGAGGTGGGAATTTTATTCCAGTGTAGACTTGAAGTGGTGGAAAGGCGAAGAAAAGAACATTCCTATAAGAATTTAACTGACCAACATTTTAATTCATTCTGATATTTTTGGATAATATTTGGGCCTAGAATCCGCAGCTCTAAAAGTAAAAAGGATTGAAGAACTTTAGGTGGCTTTTAAAATGCTTATTCCCCCAAACATAGGCAGGTGGAGAGGTTTAATTGCAGATGGCCAATGTGAATGCCCTAATTGCACAGCTTTGATACCGGCTGCCTTTCCATGATGGACTTAACAACTGTGACATTAGAAATAACTCAGAACATTATAGGGTGACCATCTAATTTATCAGCCATACCAGGGTGCTTTTGAGAGTTAAAGTGGGTACTGTTAATACTTACACTAATACAGCTGGTGTAAACTAGTATTGTTCTTGGTACATTGAGACCTTTGGTAACCCTAGCAAATAAAACCCATGGATCTCACTGTAGAAGCAATTCAGGGACCAAGGTGGCAGTGAGGCAGGACCTTCCTTATTCTATCACAAATAGCTTTTGTCTACAGCAGGCAATGTAAGAAAAACATATAGGAAGTATTCAAAAAGTCAAAAGACGTTAGTCAGTGTGTGAATCTTACCTATTTCTCATGGGCACTACTGATTAGAATGGTTTATCTGGAGAGGCTAAGATCAAAAGTGTTTATCATCTCCTTGTATTCAACATGTATTTTGGCTGGTTCATCATCTGTGAATTTATGGGGCTTAAATTACATGTTGTTGCTGGGGACCATGAGTAATTCTCAGGCAATTATAGCCAATTGGAACCTACCTTAAATTATGGTAGAAACTTTCCCTCTGTATGAGTGAAAATACTTCCTTGGGGGCTTAATTTTTTTTGTGAGATCTGTTGGCAGCCATCAGAGTGTTCTCTTCATAAGAAGGTCCAGCTTGGGTGCAAAACAAAGGCTGATGCCTTAAACCAAATACTGGCTGTAACACCACTCTGAGTATTTCAGAAAATGCACAGAGACAACAGAATGCACAATGCAGAAGCAACTTACTACTTTCTTCCCTTCTTTGTCTTGAATGAAATGCTAACCATGGTAATTTGTTTTTTCACAGGTTCTTCTTGAAATTTTTCCTCAAATGTAACCAAAATTGCCTAAAGAATGCAGGAAACCCACGTGACATGCGGAGATTCCAGGTGGGTCCCTCTTGCCTTTCTTAAATCCCAATAATGACGTGAATATCAGGAGGGGGGTAAAAAAGTCTGAGGCAGAAGAAAATACAGAGTACAGTTGTTCCCCAGAGGTGAGGAGCAGGTGAGGCTCTTGGTCCCTCAGGTGTCTGCACTCTAGGAGTTGTTTTCATTAGAGAAGAGTTGGGACTGAACCACCTGCGTTCACCGGTTGAGGCATTGATGCTCTTTCGACTTAGTTTGGCTTCCTGAATGGACTCACAGGCTTAAACTTCTGCAGGTTAAGTGAAGTACACAGAAACGATTCATTCTTTGCCTAAAGTTTCACAAGTAGAAAACTGGTAAATAAGAGCTTTCTTCTGTTGTAGAATGATGGCCCCTTCTTCCTTCCTTTCTCTCTGTTCTCCTCTTCCCAATCTTGGCAATTGTTAGCAGTAATTATCTATTAAAAATGGACCTCTGAAGACGCAGGGCATAGCTAGAGCAATATGGATGACACTGAGTTCTGTTTCAGAAATGTCCTTGTATGGCACGTGTAAATGTTCTCAAGTATCAGTCAGATCTGCCACCATTCAAAGCACAAGTGGTATGTTAACCTCATATGATTACACCTTTACTAAAGGAAGAAGATATGAAAACAAATGTGTTAACTTCCAAGACACAAAATGGTGGTTGGGTTTTAGGAAAGGTTGCTAAGTTCTAGATGCAGTGCTTCTCAAACTCCAAAGTATTGAGAATCACCTGGGGATCTTGTTAAAATGCTAATTGAGGTCTAGGGTGGGCCTAAAAATTCTACATTTCTAACAAGCTCCCAAGTGACGCCAGTGCCAGGGACCACACTTTGAATAGCAAGATTCTAGACCTTTGTGTTTCTCTCCATCTAATTTTGTGGTTAACTCATTTGCATGGTCAATGTTAGTTTCCCCATATTTCTATGCTCCTACGGTTTATTAGGGAAAACAGTGTGGTGTTGAAAGTGTGCTTTTAGCTGTAGTTAGTCAGCTTTAAGTGTAGATTGCAATATATGATCTCTGAGAGAATGTTGAAAAATTTTAGCTGTGCGTTCTCTGATGGGAGAAAAGGAAGGGATGATTCTGAGCATTGATTTTTGGATGTCCAGATCTCTTAGTCTCCAAGATGATTATTTTTTTAAGAAGTGAGACTTATTAGGCTCATGAAAGAACAAATTCAGTGGAAAGAAGACATTCTCTCCTGAGATTCTGAAGTATTTCTGTAAAATCATTTTGGCCTTGCCACCTTTTGTCCTCACAGAGATGAATGGGGAGAATCCTTGGATTCCTAGTGTCCTGGGAAATGTTTCTCCTGGTGAGCTCCTGATCCCACATTGGTAGACTTGGGTGCACTCATTCCCACACAGGAGGTTTTGTGTTGAGTTGGAGTCAGCTTTGCTGGTGAAACAACACATGTGATGCCACTAAGTGTGTGTTGCTAAGTATCTTACAACATGAGGTGGGGTTTCAGTATGAACCCTTTTGTAGCTTGCTTTGGCCTTGAGATGAGCCATATACCTCCTTTTACCAAGCTTGGGTTAGGGACAAGGCATATCCAGGCACAAACCAATTTATGTCTAATAAAACATGTCTAGTAGACATGTGTAATGCCTCACGAATACCAGGATCACGTTTGCTGTCTCTCTCAGGGCAGCAGTGCTAGAGATGAACTTTGCTGACATTGAGAACCTATAAAAGAGCATTTGTCTAAGACTTCTGTGGCCTTGCTTTCCCTCACAGGACCTGCTAGTGAAATGTCTGAAAGTCTTGAATTATAGGAAGGTAGCGATTATTTGAGATGAGAAACAAGCCAGTCCATTATTTTTGATAGTGTCTAGAAAGCTTTATTTTTGCAGACAAAATAGCTCTTCTTTGTTTTGTAGAAGGGCTACTGAGACGAGGAGGCATGAGTTAGATTTCTGGAGAGTCTTGAAATCTTTTGGAGCTTCAGTTTCCTCAACTATAAAATGGGTAAAATGATGATTCTGCTTATTTCAAAACATATGAAAGAAAGACAACATTTTGCATGCATAAGTAATTTGCAAACGATAAAACATAAATGTAAGCCTTTGGGGAAAATACTTGTGATAAACTAAAGCTGGATCATTAGTTCAGTAGAGGGTTTCTCAACCTGGGCACAATTGACATTTTAGACTAGCTAATCTTTTGCTGAGGAGCGGGGTTGCGGGGGGCGGGGGCGGGGGAGGGTTGTCTTGTGCATTGTAGGATGTTGAGCAGTTGTCATTGGCTTCTACCTACTAGTCCCCCTCCAGTCATGACAACCCAAAATATCTCCAGACATTGTCACATGTCCCCTGGTTGGGGTGTAGGGGGCAGTGCAAAATTGCCCCTGGTGGAGAGGCGCTGGTTCAGTCCTATACCTGCTGACCTCTGACACACTCTTCCAGTTGACAGTGCTACTGTCCCAAAGGGCGCACCCTTTGATTAAGCATGAGAGCTGCCCGACACAAGGTCCATACTGTGCCTCAAATGCATATGATTTATCTGAACCCTGACAATGCTCCTTCCCATGATTCTCCAGCTTGTCCTAAAACAGACAGACCTCTCTCAACAGGGGCAGCTACCTTGGCCACCACAGAGTTCATTTTTTGGTTGAAAAAGAGCTGTGTCTCCTTCTATCAGCAATGACAAATTCCTTACCGGGTCTCAGATTTAACCTGCTTTATTCTCATTACCCACTCATTACTTCCCAGGGAGAGGATAGAGGGAGACTATGGCAGAATGAACACTGACTCATTGTGTTTTGTATCTCTGTACATGTACATATTTCATTAATTATCATTTTTACACAATTAACACATGGTCTTGTGCATGTAGGTATGCAGATATTTATGCAATCATTGAATGGATAAATTGCTTCAAGAGTTAAAGTAAAATCTCAAATGTCTCTTAATTCAACCTTTCCCTTTTTTTCTATAGTCTTGTTTCTTTCATGGCTATTTTCTCCGACATTTCTTTGCATCACTTCATGCTGGTGGCCACTCCATCCTTCTTGAATTCTCCTTTTGCTTTGGATTTCATGGCAACATTCACTCATTCTCAGCCCCCTCCAAGGAATGCTCTTTGTCTACTCTGCTGCAAATGTTGGTATTCCTCACATTTCCTTTTGATATCCAGATCTTTTCTAACTTTATAGGCTCTCTTGTGTAGCTTTTCTACTCCCAGCATCTTAATCACTATTTGGGCTCCGAGGACTCTTGAGTCTGGGTCCCTGAGGCCTGACACCCAAGTACAGACCTCGCCATCCAGCTGCCTGCTGGCTGTTTCCAGGAACTTCAACTCAATGAGCCCCAAACTTTATTGTCCTCCTCATTTTTTTTTCTTTTTGTGCCTCCACCCCAGCTGGCTTCTTTGCCTTTGTTCCCTGTCTTGGTTCATTCCTAATTGCAGTAAGTGCTGGGGAGATGACAGTTTATATTTGTGTCTACATTCAGAGTGTTCCATATACATGTGTAGAATTGTACGTGTCCATGGGTGTACTTTGATGTATTTTACGTGAGTTATCATATTTATCTTCACAATATCCTGCTTAAGAATGTGCAAATATGGATTGTTTTCATTTTACAAATGAGGGATCTGAAGATTAGAGAAGTTAAGCAATTTGCCCAAAGTCACACATCTAGTAAGTAGGAGGCAGTGATTCAACCCAGTCAGTCTGACTCAGATATTATCTAATGTTGTGGAACAGTAAAGAACTTGTCCAGAGTCTGTGGGCAGATACTTAGGGAGTCAGATACAAGGAAGTCTCTCAAGATCTGAGAACCACAGCAGCTACCCATGAATATTTGCTGGAATCTCAGAAAAGCCAAGGAGGGGTTTTCAAAAGAGGCGTTTGCCCTAATAGAACCCACAGATACCGTCTGATGGAGAACATCGGTATACTACTAAAGTTTATCAAGCAGAGGGTGGAGTTGTGCAGAAGGGGAGGAATTTCAGGGCTCTTCCTGAATGGAACCACAGTGTTGGTCAGTTTTTACTTGTATGAACTTTAGAAAAAGAATTCAGTACTCAGAAGACTGCCTAAGCTTCACTTAACCTATGGAGGCTTTGGACAATTCTCCAGGGCAGGAAAGACCCCTCTCCTAGCTGGAGCCTGAGTAAAGTGGCCCCTGACATCTCCCAGTATTCTGTTAAGAAATCATACTGAAGTTCCAAAATCTTAGGACTGAACCAAGAAGGGGAAGAAGGAGAAGATTAGTCTTCCCCGCAGCTGTCTTGGCTGACAGAGGTGTGTCATAGAGACACTGGTCGAAGGTTTCCTGTGAACAAAACATATCATTTCCATCGTTTTTCTCAAAGGACAGTAATTGGGAAGCCGGTTTCAAATATCTTTATGTTGATATTGCCTCTGAAGGGGAGTGAGAGAGTGTCTTTTTGGCATGAGAAAACTCTGATCTACTCTACGTCTCAATGTGGCTTTTCCCAGTTACATTGAAAACCCGAAACCTGGAGACATCTGATTGAAAATGTGCTCTCCTGTCTATTAAGTGGGCTCTCCCCACCTGTCCTGGCTGCTGCTTTTCTCTCATCCCATTTTGTATGCTTACCAGGCCAGCTTGATCTTCATGCAGCCATGCCAGAGCGTGTCTCCTCTGAACAGCAATCAGGGGCCTGTGTAGGTGACTGAGGAGGACATAAGAAAGGTTGTTGATCTCTTGACATGTAAAGACATTCTGTCAAGCAAACTCAGCCTCACAGCGGCTGAGCTTCTGGTGTGTAAACAGAGACTGCTTAATTACACAGGTCATGTCAATTAGCGTGACCTTAGCATTTTCAAGAAATTAATCACCTTCCGCAGAACTTGACTGTGTTCATACTTTAAGGCAGTATGGAATAAACCTTGTAGAAAATCTGGTATGACCTTTTTTTTTTAAATTTACAATGGATGTTTTCTTTTGAAATCCCCAGGCTGTGGTTAGGGTAACAAACTTACTTAAATACAACAGTGGATACAGACTTCATTCACTTCTTGTG